GGAAACCTGAGTGGGCAATGTCTTTTAATTTGCATTTGATCCAGTCTGGAAAAAATCCTGATGATTTATTAACAGGTTCTCGTTTGAGACGGTTGTAGAGTTTTTCAAAGGGTGTTAAGAAGGTGCAAATGTTTAACTTTTTCGGTGGGATGGAAAAGTTTAAGCCTTTTGAAAGGATTTCTTTCTCTCTGTCAGTAATGAGGCGGTTTGAGAAGTTGAACACCACTTTATCAGGGTCGATTGGAATGTTGTTGTCATGTTTGGATGTAAGACAGAAAAGTTTGCGATCTTGGATATGTTGATGTTGCGTTAGTTTTCTTGAATTTTCACGATCGGAGACATTCTTAAGGTGTAAAAAGTCAATTTTGGAGATTAGTAACGCCAGGTTGGAGTGTGCTTGTGTTAGTTGTGCTGAGAGGACGCGTATACGAGCGTGTTTCCCGTTTATTTCTTCTTGAAGGAGTTTATTTTGGCATTGTCGATAAGCGCTAGAGTTTTGTAAGCGACGACTAGCTACTTTGAACCACAGGAATCTTGGTATCACAGAGCGCTTTCTACATATGGTAAGAAAATCCAAGTCGAGTTTTGCTTTTCCCAGCTTGAGTTCAAGTCGTTGGAATTTTCTAAATGCTTCGAGTGCTCCATTATTATAGCGATGAATTAAAATAGTAGCGAGAGACTTGCCGAGCGGAAATCGAATTCGAGTGATAAAAATTAATGCCCAACATAGAGTTCTGATTAGAGCCATAGAAATAGACCAAAAAAAGACAAATTGTAAAATTAAATTTATTGTAACGTTTCGTCTTTACTACTCATCCCACTCCTAAAACCCTTTACTATAAGCAACCTCATCATCAAAGACTCTTTCTCGTTTGTTGAAGAAATCCTAAATTGTAATATAAACTCCAGTAACGTTATCCTTGCTAGCTTTGATGTCGTATCCCTATTTACTAACGTACCTGTTGACGAAACCATCCACATAATATCCAAAAGCATTTTTAACAACCACCAGTACTTCAACGGACTCACTGCAACAGAATTTGAAAAACTACTCTCTCTAGCTGTTAAGAAATGTCACTTTATCTTTAACGGGAAAATGTACCAGCAAATTGATGGTGTGGCTATGGGCAGTCCATTGGGCCCTCCCTTTGCTGATATATTCATGTCCTTTCACGAACAATCCTGGCTTAATAAATGTCCTTCTTCATTCAAACCACTACTTTACCGACGCTACGTTGACTACTGTTTTTTACTTTATCATTCCTCCGATCACGTCCCTCTCTTTCTTGACTATCTGAACCGACAACACCCTAACATCACATTCACAGCTGAAGTCGAACAAAACAGAAAGCTCTCATTTCTAGACATTGATATTTCTCGTACTAATTGAAAATTCACCACTTCCGTCTACCGCAAACCTACTTTCATTGGCCTCTTCACCAACTTCTACAGCTTCATCCCACTTACTTACAAACTTTCACTACTCTCTTGCTTACTTCACCGCATCTTCAATCTTTGTTCTACTTACGAAAATTTTCATACACAACTTGAATTTACCAGAAAGTCACTCACCAAAAACGGTTTTCCTTCACGTATAATTGACCAAATCACACGTCGCTTCCTTAACAACACCTTTGCCCCTAAATCACCTGTCTTGACTGCTCACAAAATGCCCATCTATTTCTGTCTTCTTTTCACCGGCATACACTCCCTTCAAATTCGCACACAAATCAATAGCCTTTGTGCTGCAGCCTTCCCACATATATCCATTAAATTTGTTTTCCGCCCTTCTCAACGTATCTCTTCTTTCTTCCCCTTTAAGGACAAAATTCCCAAACCTCTGAGATCTGGTGTAGTCTATTTATTCAAGTGTCGAAGCTGCAACGCCTCGTATGTGGGTCAAACCACACGTCATCTACACACCAGATTTTCGGAGCACTTGGGAATATCCCCCCTTACATTCAACCAAGTTTCCCACCCTGCATCATCAAGCATTCTTGCTCACATTAACGCAACTGGACACAACCCCAACTTAGATGACTTTAAAATAATCTCCTCTTCCAACGATACTTATGAACTCTCCATTCATGAAAGCCCTCTAATCAATAAATACAAACCTTTACTTAATGTGGAAGGAAACTCCATTCCACTTAACCTCTTTTAATTTCACTTTATTTTACTACCTATGGAAGTCCTGAGAAGGACTGTTTTTGTTGTTGTTGACTGACGTTTCGACAACCTTAGCGGTAGTCATCTTCAGAGTTAAATGAGGTGTAAACGTCAGGTTAGCCGTATTTGTTATCTGGTTCTTACGTCATTGTATTGTGTGTACAGGAAATGTGTATTGTCATTGTGAATTAGTGTAAAGTGAAATATGTTTATTTTTAGTTGTAATGTGTGGGTGTCAATTGTGTATTGTCATTGTGAATTAGTGTGAAGTGTAATGTTTTTAGTTGATCGTTTGTTTGTATTGTGAATAAGTCGTTTGTAAGGTGCCGGTAATTGCTGTGATCTGGCGGTCGAGTCTGTCCTAGCGTATCAAAGTATCGAGGCTGTCTTAGCGTATGAAAGACACTTGTCAAGACAACCAAAGACGAGATCAGAAGCAGGATAGCCTCCACTTTACAATCGTCCTCTATACGTGACAACAACTTGACAAAGGACGAACAGCAAGCACTCAAACGACTAAAACGCGACAACAACATCGTCATTTTACCAGCAGACAAAGGACGCGTGACTGTGGTCATGGACAGGAATGATTACTTCAACAAAATGGACACCCTCTGAACAAGGTATGAACAACTCAAACGAGACCCAACACCATCACTAGTACGCAAACCTAACAGCAAGATCTTTTCTATGAGAAAATCTAACATTATATCTGAACGTATTTACTATCAACTCAGATGTTCAGTACCACGACCACCCAGACTATACGCACTACCAAAACTTCACAAACCACAAATACCCATGCGACCAATTGTATCATTCTGTGGTTCGCCTACTTACGAACTCTCAAAGTACTTGACTGAAATACTGCAACCACTTACAAACAAATCAAAACACAAGCTACAATCCACTGAAACTTTCATTAAAAAACTGAGCACTATACAAATACCGGACAACTATATACTAGTGTCTTTTGATGTGAAATCACTGTTCACCAGTATTCCACTTAATCTGGCACTTACTTGTACAAAATTGTAATGCAATCTATAGAGGAACGGGCGCTCACGACTTACAAACATGCACTACCTTTTTGGCTCCGCTACGTAGATGACACAATCACAGCACTACATGCAGATGAGATTGATAACTTTCACACTCACATCAACAAACAGAACAGCTACTTACAATTTACCAAATATGTCGAAGAAAACGGAACTCTTACTTTTCTCGATTGTTCGGTAAAACAGGACTATCAAAAAGTACGAACAACAGTTTATCTCGAACCAACACACACTGACCGACTACTAGACCAATCATCTTACAACCCTACATCACACAAAGCCACCACAATCAGAACATTAACAAGATGTGCACAAATCATATGTGATTCACCGGACGCTCTACACAACGAAAACAATTATCTCAAACGTGTTTTTGACAAAAACAACAATAACTCTAACTTTATCAAACGCAACACTTACAAACCCACCGAACCCAACGAAACGAGCAACTCAGTGCCAACAGCAACGATACCTTACATCAAATGTACGTCTGAGACTATCTCGCGTATCTTACGACCATACAACATACGTGTCTCACATAAACCAATCACAACGTTACGACAAGTACTAACGAACATAAAGGACAAACAACAACCCAACGAACGACAAGGTGCAGTTTACAAAATAAATTGCTCCGGCTGCCACGCCTCCTATATCGGGGAAACTGGCAGGAACTTAATTATAAGACTTACTGAACACAAACGAGCTACTAAGAATCAAGACAAGACTAATCACATTGCCGAACATCACCGAATCACAAAGCACAACATTGACTGGGACTCGGCAAAATGCATTACTTACTGTGCTGACTATAGACAACGGCTTACATTAGAAAGTTGGTATACCAAATTGGAACAAACCCCCCTGAACCGACCACAGCAATTACCGGCACCTTACAAACGACTTATTCACAATACAAACAAACGATCAACCAAAAACATTACACTTCACACTAATTCACAATGACAATACACAATTGACACCCACACGTTACAACTAAAAACATCACACCTAAATCACACATCACAACTAAAAATAGAACTATTTCACTTCACACTAATTTACAATGACAATACACATTTCCTGTACACATAATACAATGTCGTAAGAACAAGATAACAAATACGGCTAACCTGACGTTTACTCCTCATTTGACTCTGAAAATGACTACCGCTAAGGTTGTCGAAACGTCAGTCAACAACAACAAAAACAGTCCTTCTCAGGACTTCCATAGGTATTATTGTGCAATACTTTGTCTTCTGTAATTGTGTAATGTATGTCAAGAGCAAGATATAATTTTTCAAAAATGCTAACCCCTTCAAGCGCTGCTACTCTTCTGTTTTGCTTGAACAACTTACAGCTACCAATACTAATTATTTATATGTACAAACTTACAATTGGGAATTAAATGATAAACAACTTTATAAGTCTTTGTATTATACATCAAGCCTTTGAATTTGTTCTTTTATGTCTTGGTAAAAATATTAATAAAGGACTTACAAATCAATTTTTTCAAAAATAGTATTTTGTGCAAAGAAACTAAACATAATTGGAAAGGTCACATGTTGAAGACAGACAGAATTTTATCGGGTGGCTTGTGTTTTAGGTGTATTACTGTTGTCTTGTTATAATTTTGATTTTACTTGTTTAGGTGTTTATCCTGAGCCATACCTAATCATTTTAAAATTTAATAAAATGTACGCAGTTGATATTCTTACCGAAGATTTTCATGTTGATATTATTCATGGATTCAGAGATAGTTTTTATCATATATGTTGCAACCATTATGACATGGAGATCGATGTATCTGAGGACATGATTTACTATATTGAACTTGGAGATATCAAAAGATCAAACCTGGATATGACTGATGTTGAAATTTTTGAAGAAAATGCTTGCGCTCATGATATGACAGTTGACTGGATCGGACGTCGTATATTCTACGTCAAGTCGAATAACATCATCCAGCAAATTTCTTTAAACAGCAAAAATTCAAGCGTTATGAGATTTACACCGGGCTTAAAATTTAATATGATCACATTTGATCCAATCAAGGGGTATGTACATATTGAAAATTTTTCCATCAAATTTCTAAAAGTAAACTTCAGAATCTATTTTGATGTAAAAAATATAATTTATTTTGAACGACTTGTCATATTCTTGACAATGTTACTGTGTTTATTTTCCTTTATGCTGTTTAAGATGTTGCAAATTGTAAATTGTTAGAGTTCTTCTATACAGCTTTTTGTATGTTAGATGTTCGAAGAGTTCACGTATATATAAAATGTGCATGAATGACTAGCTAAAGTCAACTGCACTGAACATATATTTAGTCATTTTCTTAAGACAGACCAATAACAAGCATACCAAGTGTTTGTTCTAAAAGCAAAATGAGCAGGTTGCCATCGATTTTATGGGTCAGATGAAACTTTGAAAGGCTAACAAGATACAAAGTCTTATATACTTCCTAAGTTTGCAACAAGGAGCAATAGGCTCAATAATATTATGGGTAATAAATTAAAATCCTCCCTTTGGAAAAATATCCTTAAAAGGTTCGTAGTTTATGAAGTATGTAGAAATATGTTATCTTTAGTCAAAATTACTATAAATTTGATGAAGAAATCAAAAGAAAAATAAATTTCAGCTTATTTCAAGCATAAAGATGTTTTATACATCTAGAAAACATGCCCAAAATAGATGGGCTTTTCAGTTTTGAGTTAGCTTCGTTGATTTTGATCTATCTCCAAGCATTTCAATGAGCTGACATCTATTGCTGGTTTTCAATTTTTTCCAATACAATTTGTTCTTCCTATGAGCTTTTCATGATATGTCAAATTATAAGTAGGAAGTACTAGCGAATATGAAATATGCCATTGTATGCGATGTGCGACACTGAAATGAGTGTAGCAATAAGCTTGTGGCTTTGAGCGCTGTTTTGGTACCCTATCAAAGTTCAGTTAACATTTATAAGTCCCCTTCGGGCCCTTCCACGTCTCAAAACAGATGTCGGAAGCAAGAGAACACTCCTTTAGGTTAACAAGCGTCTTATTTTTAATATATTCAATCTATTGCTTGTCTCACAATCGTCCGAGTGCTCGAAACTTACATAAATTACAAATAATTTCTGCTTGGTTTCACAAAATATTAAAATAACAATGAACATATACTTGTATACAATGAAATCCAAAATATTTGCAATGCTCCATTGCAATTTGTGAAGCCCTTGCGCGTCTCAAAATTATTTATATCTGGTACAGAACTTTTGAAAATGCTATCTGAAAAATAGCAACAAAATGTCGTTGCTCCAATATTATCAATACATATACATGTGGTGTATACAAAGTATTTATATAATGTGCCCTCCCGGCTATCACCATATTTAAGGTGACTCCTGCGCTTGGGACACAGAACGTACGGTTACACATTGTATGGATTGTATTGTAGAGTTCCCACAGTGCTCAAACCTATAAACGTGAGCTTTGCATAGCTCATGGATCATTCAATGTACTCCGGTTTACTTAGAAAGAAAACGTACGTTTGAGACACACTGCATAGCAAGTATTTGAGAATTGGAAAACAACTGATTGCACCTTTTAAACAATCTATAGAAATAATAATATATAGTACCAAACTTACACCATACTTTCTAATTAATGTTACTATTTCAGCGAGAACTTTTTTTGTTTAAGGTATCTTTTCTCAGCAGAAGAAAAATATCATAAAATTTGGATATGGAGTAGGATTTCAAATAATGATCACGTTTCATCAGTTTCTCTTGAGTCAAACGCATATGATCTTACTCTTGACATGGGTGAAGAGGAAGCTATATTGGCGAGTTTCCGATGACACTGTGTATTCATGTGATTACCTCGCCAAAAATGTGGACGTTTTTGCAATATCAGGAGCACGAATAAAAGTATTTTGAAATTTTGTATATTTCATAAATAGTGTAAAGAAAGGCATAGTAACGGCCTATAACACAACAGATAACTTGACTTATAACTTTTCCATCCCTGTGGCTGTGAGTGATGGTCATCATGGTATGGCTGTAGTACAAAGCACTAGTGTAGTGTCAAATGGTAAGTGAAATATCAAATCATTAAATATATGATTCATCAAAACACAAAATAACAAATACTGCTCATAACTCAAACAAACTAACACATGCACTTACGTAAAGTTTACGCTAGGTAATGATTTATATGAAAAGTCACATTTAAAAAGTCATTGAAAAAGCTTAATTTTTATGATTCACATCCATATCATTATGCTCATATATATTTGAAAAATCAATTAAAAATCGTCTCGAAGAAACAAGTTTGTAATTCCTGCATTTATCTTTTACATATGTACTTTAATTCTTGTAAACATTTACTGCCATTATTTAAACTCTACCTATTAAATACCAATATTTAGTGACAAAACCCTTCAATTTTCCCATATGTGGATCCAACACATACTACAACAAAGTTGATAAAACATTACAATGCAAATGTATGGAAGGATATGAAGGAGAATGTAATTCATGTACTGGTAGATATATGGATTTTTTATAACAGTACTAAAAGCAGAGCATCTAGCTTGTTCTCTACAATCCAAATTATTTTGCATATGTTTTCATTGTTAAATGGACAAGTGTTTATTTTAGCTATTTTCATTTCTTGTCTTTGGTTTTATATAACTGTCTATCTTAAAAGTATTATCTTTTTAAAATAAGTGGCTTATTATTCACCAACTAAAAAACTTTACATGCTCTAAACATAAATATCATCCTCAATTAGACGTATAAAAATGCTACAATTTTGTTCTCAACTTCTTAACTTTGTTGCCGTGCTACTTTACCAGAAACTGTTGTTAGAAAACTGTCTGTAAACCAATACCAACAACTAGTAAGAAGCAGCTTTCAGCTTACTGTGTTTTACATTATTTCTAAATTTATCGACTCGAATTAAACAAACTACAAATCAGTGATAACTTTAAAAAACCGTATCTTTGTTCATTCAGTAACTGCTTTATGAATCTGTTATTGTTATTTAAATGACAAATTTGAAATTACATTACTCGCACGTTTTTATGTTAATTTTCTACCTTTAATTTAGAGATATGTAAGACAGACATGGTTCTTCTCCTTGATACATCATACTCTATTGGCAAAACAACTTTGATAGGAAAATAAAACCGTTTCTAAAAACGTTGGTTTTCAGTCCTAAGCTTAAAGTCGGCCCTGACGGAACCCAAATTGCTATCGTTACATTCAGCGACAGACGTCATACGAAGATTCTTCTACATTTCTCTGCTAAGACAAAAACAGAGTACATAACATTTATAAACCATGTTTTACTATGGAGGCTGTTTTGGTAGTAGAACGATGACTGGAACTGGTGCAGGCATTGTGGACAAACAGGTGAATTTCTCCTTTAAGATAGGAAAGCTGTAAAATAACACATCTCTTTGACTGATTACATTGCAAAATACATTTTATTTTACGAACAAGATATTCAAGGAGAGCAGTCCACACAACAACCGACCAAACATCCCTGACGTTGTCTTATTGATAACAGATGGTGAACCACGTGGAAGGAAAAAGGCGATGAATTAAAGGACGCTTACAAATATTCAAGGTGATAAATGATGTGTTAAAGTTACTCTTTGATTTTTCTTTAAGTTTTCCATGATAACATTCTCTCGTTACAAATTTATCAACAACCTTTATTTTCATCACAAAAAGATTTATAGCTCTCTACCGTCATCTACCATTCACTAGATTTAATGTACTATATTTTAATCAATTCAATAATATCAGATCAATGAAAGACAAAGGCATTCTTATTGTTGGTGTTGCTGTTGGCTGGCCATCTATAGTGAAAAAGTTTAAGCCAGTCATTAAGAAAATATCAACTTCAGAAAAGACAACATTTGACACAGAATTTGATTCTCTGAACGAAATACTGAACAAAATTGTTGATGCCTTCTGTACGTCTTTTTTACCAGGTTTGTATCAATTTACAGTTTTGTTGTTGTTGAAGTCTTATCGTCATTAAATGAAGTCAACAAATGACCGGTCGTGTTTTATAAAGCAAAAACGGAATTTATATTATTTATAGCTGTTTTATGATGTCTTGTGGCTAGCAAAAAATTATTTTATATGCAAGTTTACTATTTAGCATTGTCATATAAGTAAATATTCCCTTACGTGATGTTGATTTTAGTACTTTCCTATAAAAAAAAGGTCACTGTAGCTGTTCGTCTTTTCAATCTTCAACTGTTTACATCAATTCATCAAAAAAAGCGGTGACTGTAAGTTGGCCAATACCAGTTCGATGTAGAACGAACAGAGTTCCTCAATATACGATGACGATTAAACCAAATATCACATCCCCACACGATTTTACTGTTGGGAATCATCGTATTGAATATACTTTCACATTCAGAGAAGGATTTTATCTTAAATGTTACATAGATATTAAAGTTGAAAGTAAGTATTGACGAAAAGTCTTTGTAAGCTTTGAATATCCCAATGGAAACTATATCATTTGTCTGTAAAGTATTTCATCACCACAAAAACGGACATATATGTCGTCTTAGTTTGTATTTTAAAGACCGCTCTTTTCTCTGTTGTTCATTCATCAATACCTTCACTGACACATATTACCTTACATAGTTTATATTTTAGGAATTATAAATACTGTTCTCTTTTTCTCTTATTCATTTATCTTTACTGACAATTGCACAAGTTATCTTAGTTTTGTTTTAGATTGTGTAAAAATAGTTTTTGTTCTCTTTTCTTCGTTTATCACCATCTATACTCACAAACATCATTTAATGAATATTTTAGTGTGTGTAAAGACTGTTCTCGTTTTCTATAATCCATTCATCACTACTTGCACTAACATATGTTTTATTAGTTATATTTTGGGTAAGATAAAAAAATTTCATGTTCTTTTTCACAGCATGTGAATGCCAAAGTGCAGCACCAATAACAAAGAAAATTAGGAAGAAAAACCGTTGTATATGTTAAACGGAACGAGCCAAAACCAAAGTGTCCACATACACTGATTAGTCTGTCACCATCAGGATCAATTTTAGGCGAAGGAAATTTTGGAATTGGGAAATATGACATTACTTATGATTTCGCCATTAGAGGTAACGGGAAAAGCTTTGTTTTTAGCTGTCGATTAAGGATCAAGGTCCGCGGATAAATTGAACAATATGTTGTAGTATGTGTATGTACTTTGTAGAATATTTTAAAGTTATTGCACTACCATGCTATGTTGTCATCGTTTCAAATACACACGTTCTTAAAAAAACAAAACAAAATAGGTTGTAAGAAAACTTATAAAATATTCAACTTTTGCTGTGTATAAGATCGTCTAAAGCGCGCGATACTTCACAAATTGAGAACATCGCATGAATGTGATGTAGGAAATCTTTTAAGCGTTCTCGTTGACGCCATATCTGATTTATATCTATATATGTCATTGAGCTATATAATAACTGCAGCGGCTTGGTGGACTGGGCCAATAAGGCTAAAACATGGATGACAATTAATCTTTTTCCGCTGAAATGATCGCTTTGCAGTAAAAATAATGTTCTTGACCTATATCTATATTCAATTATATAGAATTTTTTAAAAAGGAGCGCGATATCTTTTTACGTATTTTTTTCATAATGCCAAACCTTCAATAGCTCAGTTTTTAGGTATCGTAATGTCCACAAAAAGGAGCATGTCGCTTTCACTGGTGAGATATTTGCTTGTAGAAATATTCTTACTACCTCACATGCAAAATATATATAAGAGCTAAATTATAATCACAGTCACGGTCACCAAATTCTGAAGCCTTGCATCTTTGTATCTTCTGTCGACATATAAATTGCTTGCAAATGATGCTAATATGTTCACAGGCATGTTTTCATCGTTAAAATCTTGGTGTTGGGTAGTATTAATTCGCATCTCAACAACTTTGAGGTATTAAAATGGAACAAGCGGGAACATGGAAACATATGGCACAGCAGAAAGCATCACCATCACCTTACCCTCATTTGGTTGGACCAAGATTTTGTGGCCAACCATAATGTAAATTGTTTTGGAGACAAAAAGCATGATGGGAAGATTTGCATTTTGACTTTCGGATTTTCATAGTTTTCAAGTGTTCTTAAATATGGGCTTAAGAATATCGTTAATTCTTTCCTTTTGGGGGGGGGGAGGAGCTCTTCATCTATTCATCAAAAAGCATGTTAAGTTCTTTTGAAATCCAGCTTTTTCTAACATAAATACATGAATTTGACCCCCTCCCTCCCGCAATTATCAGTTTTCCTACCCCAGCATGCTCTCATATTCTGCAAATTAATCGTGGCTTGTTATAGCAAGTTTACTATCGAGTGAGTTTTACAACACTGATGTATCTTTTTAGTCACACTCAGGATCTTTTTCAAAACAGTTTTCTGAGAATTTCTATTTTACGCGTCACTAGTTTTATCAAAATGTCCAAAGCACTATGGGCAAAGTGAGCACAAAATTATGTTTTTTAAAAAACCAGTTATACGTATATGTTTTTTGTATTTCCTGTAGTTTTCTCTCATTATAATTATAGCTATTCGTGGCTCTTGTCAATATTGTGTAATTTTTAGAATTTATTGAGAAAGTTGGGAGCCAAAACCAGCAAATAAGCTATAAAGTATATTTAGTCGTGAACTCATTACTGGAATATTTGCTAAGATATTCACTAGCATTCCCCAATCTAAATCACTGTATCCTACCGATTCTAAAGGGTTCTCGCTGTTTCTAAACGTTAGATTTAATTGTGGTGTCCCCTTAAGGTATCTTAGGACATGCTTTGCTGCATTTAATGATGCAACAGTCGGTTTGGACATGTATTGAGACAGTTTGGTAACTATATAGTATAAGTCCGGCCTAGTGCCTGTCATAATGTAAATCAGTGGGTGCGACCGTCTCACGATAGTCAATTCCTGAGACTTGAGAATAACCCTTAGCTACATACCTAGCCTTAAACGTCTCCTCATTGTTCATGCCTGTTTTGATTGTGTACACCCATTTTCCACCCCCTATTTCACGATTTGGGTGTAACTCAATAGGTGTGAAAGTGTTATTATCCACTAATGAGGTAAACTCATCGTCCATGGCGTTTTTCCACTGGACTGACTCTTTATAGCTTACAGCTTCTGAAAAGGAAGTGGGTAAATCATTCAACCTGTAACAATAATCGACTGCAAGCTTAGTTGTGGTATCAGTTATGTTTTCAACTACATACTCATCTAGATATGCTGGCCTATTCCGGGTTCGGGTTGGATACCAGTGTCATTCCCTTCTAAATTATCAGGTTTCCCCCTATTTCTGCAGTAGGCTGTTCTGACGTAGGTGTTGCGTAAGAAGGTTGGTAAATTTCGTCGTCCGTTGGAGTCTTCTCAATCTCATCATGGATACTATCAAAAAACTTTACGCATCTTACTCTCTCTACTTTCATGTTTTCCGGGTAATATACCAGGTATGAGGGCAACACTTATCATACCCAATGAAAATCCCCTTCTTGCTTCTAGGTTCAAGCTTTTTCGGGTTTTGCACATAGGCATAGCACTTCCCATAGCTCATACTTATTTTCATCTCCATTGAACATTATTGCTCTCCTGGGCCCATAACCTGTTGGGTTTGATGCAGTGGCCATGATAAATAATCACACTGATGTCTGGAGGTTTTATTACATTTATTCCCACATATAGAAGAAAAACTAGCACACGACAACTAACTGATACACATAATGATACAGCTATTTACATACGTGACGCTAAACTATGATTGGTCATTTTCTTTCCTCTGCTCTTGTTACAAATAATATCGATTACGTTTACAATCATTTCTATAGTTAAATATGTAGGAAGTTAACACACACTTTACAAGATACACATATACACATCACATGAGAGCATAACCTAACAGTTATTATTGAAGAACCTAGTGGAGCAGTATTTTATAGACACGTATGGGACGTCTATGGATCGTGAAAAAGTCAATGCTAAGTTGGAGAAGAGATTTGATTTACAAGAACATAGTCATTATAAGAGAAATTACTGCTTAGTCCCCAAATTTCTCGACATTTTTATATAAAACTCTCTTATACCTTTTGGTTTCATTCATTCAACACCACAACCAATCCCCTCTCTAAACGTTGCCACGTTCATGTCATTGCTAGAGAAAACCTAAAAACAGCAAAAGCATCTCAAGAGAGTGTGCTGCAAGTCTGCAGTTGTAAGTCTGTAGTTGTAAGTCTGCAGTTGTAAGTCTATATTAAGAGAAATTATAAGAAGCCTTTTTTGAGCGTTAATTGCTTGCGCTTCAACGGTGTCTACAGTTAAATGCGAACTGAAGTTTAGCCTAATATATGAAAGGAGCTCATTCTTAGCCTAGAAGTGGGAAGATTTAACTAAAATATATATAAATATAACTAATTATTGACTCATGAGAGCTGACATTTACATACCTTTTCCATTCTCGTATACAATAAGGCTCTAGCTACGGCCTTGTTTGTTTCATTGAACCCTTAATCGACCACATCTTTTTTTTTAATCACAACTCATTTGGTTTAGTGATTGTTGCAGACATGCTAAACGGAAGTTCGGGGACCATACAGGGTTAGTAAAGAGCTGTTTCTCAGCCATAGAATGCTCTGGTGAAGTATGAAAAAGTCACGTGACGTTGAACCGTTTAAAAAATGGCGGTAGATAAAGAGGTATCAAGAAGTATAAAGAAGCAAGAAGCAATCAGCAAAGCTCCCACGATTTTTTGTGAGCAGAAATTTAATCGTCCGTTCAGGTAAAATTTATCAATTATTTTTAACTCTTCAACGATAAGTAATGTCAAATTTTCATTTTATGTGTAGGTTATAATATTGCTTGGCTGTGTAGATCAGATTAGATTTTAGTGGCTACTTTGAAAATGTTAGGTACCTTGCCTTGTATCAGAGTTTTTTGTGGTTTAATTATTCTTTGCCAATGGGTAGTATTGCTAAATGTAATGGTCCTAATTATCATTTACGCAATATGATAATAACATATTCCAGAAGAATGCATTCATTTTTCCATATGATATATGTATGATAATATAATAAAAACTTTATTGTTTTTTGTAAAATTTATTATAGGATGATACACAAGTCACTTCATACTTACTCCAACTTGTGTTTCACCCTATACTATATTTCATACTTTATTGGCACTCCTTCAGCATCAACCAGTTTATCTATATGATGTTGTTTGCACTAGCTACAACTCTCACTACAAAAAACTTCTTTCAATATTATCATTTAGTATACATATGTGCATTTTGAATTATTATGATTGGTAATAACAGCTGGTGGATGATTTTCTTTGGCAACCCTGATTAGTGATAAGCCGAAAGAAAATAAATTTAATAGCTTCTCATGCATATTTACTACTGTATTTTATACTATGTATATGAAGTTTTATATCAGAGTT